CTGACTTCTAGCCCCTGGCGCCTTCCTCATTCTCTCCCCTTTTCTCTCTTTTTCTCTTTTTTTCTTCAAGCCTAGATTCCTCCTCCTATTTATTCTCTCTGCCTGCCAGCCTCACCTATCCCTTTTCTGCCTAGCAATTGGCTATTCGGCTTTTTTATTTGACCAATCAGGTGCCTTCGGCAGGCAAGGTGAAACAGACGCAACACATCTTTACATATGAAGCATACATCCTTACATCATTGAACATATGCAGTATAAATAAATGTAACATATTTACACACCTTTACACGTTAAAGTAATATTCTGCAGCATAAACAAATATAACAAATCTTTGCCTAATAAAACAATATTCCAATATTCTTTAATTACAACCGACAGTATCCTAACTCAAGGAAGGAATGTAAGGTGGGATGAGACAGGAACTCACGCTCCTTCATTCTGAAGACTTCAAAGAGATAAGAGCTGCTTTTCTTTGCTGATCTTTAGGTTGAACCTCAATATCTGTCTCTGGGTTTTGAGTATTCATGCTTTAACTGGCAGCCAATATTTGGGGCATAAATTCATTAAAAAGCTGCTTGCCTGTGGCTTTTGAACCACTGGCACAGGCAGAGCTCCATGTGGGGCTCCCACCAGAGCTGCCTGTGGGCTGCAGCCTTACCTGGCTAGGTTTTCTTTTCTTTTTCCCCCAAGCCTCTGAGTGAGTTTGGGATTTTCCTGTAGTAACCTCTCTGAAACAGTCTCCAGCTGTCACCCAAACTCCAGAAGCACCTGGGCTCAGTCCTGAGGTCAGGACTTACTGACCCTAGACTGGCTGGTTCTGCATCCAGGCAGCCCCCAACCACCTGGGCTTTTTCTGAACCCCTGTGCATTTTTCAGAGCCCCTCCCTCTCTCTCCCCACTGTGTGTTGCCATTAAGCAACTTGTAGCAGTCTACCCACAAACCTCATTTAAATGCTCTGTAGCTGGACCTCGGGAAAGAGCCAGAGCTGTTGGTGCCAGTATGAACCAGGAAGCCATCTCATAAAGAAGCTGCACCTCTGCTTGCAGTCAGCAAACAGAGCCTATCTGAAAAAAGAAATATGGCTACCAAGAAACTACACTTGGCACCCTCTTTTTGTCCTTAAAATTTTTAAAGGTCTTACGTGGATTCATGCCCGACAGTGGGGACCATTTGTAAACTGAGGCTGCTTGTTCATTTTCCAGCTGCCCAGACCCGAATAATCACACAGAAACTATATTAATTACCATACTGTTTGGCCATAACTTAGGCATATTTCTAACTAACTCTTACATCTTAAGTCAATCCATTTCTATTAATCTATGTATCACCACGAGGCTGTAGCCTACAAGTAAGTTTCTGGCATCTGTCTCCTTCAGCAGCTACATGCAACCAAACACTACTGCCTGCAGGAAGTAACTTAAAGTAACTCAAAAGCATGAAATCTGGCACATGAATGTGTTCTATTTTGTAGAATTTGGAAAACTAAATATGTACACCACACCATTTGATACCTATTCAGGTTTTTGGGAAACTGCTTTGAGTTGGGAAAAGGTTGATTTGGTAATCACACATTTGCTATAAGTTATGGTCATCATGCATATACCTGTATATATTAAGACAGACAATGCTCCAGCATATGTCTCTAAGAAAATGAAACAGTTTTTTGCTTATTATAATTGTTGAGGACCAGCCTTGTCAAAATTACCTCTTACCAGGGTAGGGGCATGGGCATAGAAAAATTATATGATGATGCATCAAAATAATAAGACAGAAAACATAAAACAGTATCTGGAGGTTATTTCATGACTCACTCAGTCCCTGAAATCATTATTTTTCCACAGCATTTATATCCAATGTAAACTGGGGGAGAAGGTAACAAAAGACTTCATTAACATGGTGTACAAAAGGTTAACTCTCACAGTCAACTCTGAGAGATCCAATCATCAGCATTCTGTAGCCGAGGTGATGAGATGCCCCAAGTCACATACACTGAGTCCTGTACACTAAAGACAGCCCTTCCCCAGGTGACTTCAAAGTCACAATGGAAGGAGCAGAATTACATTTGCCTATCCTGACCACCTGCCATCAGAATGGCACCAAGCTATATTGATTTCAAAAGGGCCAGGCAATCACCTCCTAGGTTAGAAGGTGCCATTAAGCCTGTTAGTCCCCAAACTCTCTGACCTTCAGACAAGATGGGAATGGGCCTGCATTCTTCAGCCTCCACATATAATATAAAGCATATTATAGGTATACTACACAATCCTAAATACCAGGCAGTTATAGAAAGATCAAATTGAACACCAAAGGATAGGTTAAATAAAAAAGGATGATAGATACTCCCAGAAATAGATTACATAATGCTTTATTAACTTTGAATTTTCTAATGCTTATGAGAAAGGAACAACATCTGTGGAAAGCCATTGAATACTAGAAAAAAAACTACAGAATTAAATCAAACATGTACTGACCTCAGAATGGAATCAAGGACATGTGTTACATTGGGGAAGGGGTTTTGCTTTTGTTTCCACAGGAGAAGAAAAATTATGGATACCACCAAAATTGATAAAGATTTGGTTTTAACAAGAGATACCTCTTAATTAAAAGAGATGATAGTTCATTGAACAACATGGCTGTTTTAATCTAAACTAACCTATAAAACTAACAAATGCTTTTCATTTGATCAGATACATTTTGCCAAAAAAGAATCTCCCCAAAATTAGGGTTAGGGAAGGGTTTCGTTTCTGTCCTTTCAGGAAAATGAAGTATCCAGCTAAGGAATCTGAAGATCACTGAACAAATGAGACATCTGAGGAAAAAGAACAAGTTATCCAGAAAAATGCCTGAAAAAAAAAAGAGTAAATTGGCCAATTGTATATCACATTTCCAATGAGATAAAATTTCATAAATCTTCCATAATGTTTGTTTCTGCTATTCTCTACAGACATATAATGCAAATGGTCTCTTTGTAGTCTCAGTATAATCAAAGATCAAAGCTGGCTTTGGAATTGGAGTGTGGCTGTCTCCTCTATACCCAAGCATGTTTTTAAAAGTAAAATCCAAAATCTCTATCTCATGTCAGAGAAGGAGCCACCTGATATGGGACAGAAGAAAAACAAATACTTAAGGACTATTTAATTTCTACTAATCTCATAATTCTTTGGTTTTATATTGTATCTTTAATAGTTTTTCTTAAGGTTTTTGTCATGATGTTAATGGTCATATAGGATAGTAACTAATTCTAGAAAAAGGTTTCATATACCTTCCCGTACATTATTTTGGGTTTGAGTCTCTATTAGTTTTCTGCATGCCTAAAGCAACATTTGAAGTCTCCAAAAGGAGAATGGGGCCTCACAACAATGATTCCTGCAGGACTGTTATAATACCATTAAGCAGAAAAACGCCAGCTAAATATTGGCCTGGACTACAAACTGCTCAGTACAATTTTGAGTTAGCTTGCTAAAATGAGCCAGCCTAACAGGCTGCTCTAGCCAGGACTTGAGAGAAGTCCTGCACTTTCCCATTACACAGAAACTGGACAACAAATGATATAGCTACCTCTTGCTGGACTTGAAAATTAACCCAAACTTTTCTTTCCAGAATCCTGTAAAGACACTGTCACCCCCAGACAGCAGGAAGTAAATTTAAGACTATAACACACATATTCCCAAGAGGTGTGTTTAGTAGTTTTTGGTCATTCAGTAGGTTATAGATATTTCTCATTGTTTAGGGGGATTGGTTACAAGTCATTATTGGTAATGATCAGGAAAAAAAACCAAACAAAGGAAATTAAATACACAGTTCTTATTTTGAAAAAAACAGGTAGATAGAGATATGATAGGACAAAAGGGTAGATTATTGAATCTACTCTGAAAGAAAAAAAGGGAGATTAGAGATATAATAAGATGAAAAGGTAAATTATTGAACCTACTCTTAAAGAGCAACTACTAGTTTTATTTATTTTACATTGGATTGGACTTTTGTATATTGTATACAAATTTTGTATATTGATATGAATTTGAAATTAAATTTGCTAGGATATACTGTATACTTGTTTCTAATTTTGTTCAAGGTATTGTACCTATACACTCATTTAACAATGCAGTACAAATTTCTAGTCCTTGAAAATTATTATTACCAACCATTTAGGATAATAAGGAAGTGCAGGTTAGTAATTACCTAGCATAATTAAGCTTTTGGTATGTTAGGTATGTTTTTAAGGTCAGACAAAGATATATTTTTGATAGACAGGTCATCTTCAAACACTTCAGAGATCTACAGAATATGGCATTTAAGATGTTTTAATAACATAGGCTCTTTTAATGACAATGAGACATGTCTGCTCCTGACAGCACCAATTTACTTCAGAAAAGATGATGGACATCAAAGAAACTCCACATGAAGTTTACTTTCTTTGTGGCAAAAGTAAGCCACTGGGCATTAAAATGCCCTTGCCTTTACTGCTGACAGTATCCTGTCCTAATGGGATAAGCAGTACGCAAACAAAGGGCCTTCCATCCTCGCCCAGACAAAGCGGGGCAACCCTTCCAAAACCTTGCTTCATAGAAAAATTTGTCAGATATTCTAGCCTGTAGACTGATGGATGCCCCACCATTGCAGAGGAACTTTGGGTGACTGTCCAGGTAACCAGCTGTTTCTGTCATTTCTCACAGTTTTTGGAAGTTGCTTGCTTGCGCTTCCTGTGTAGTCAGTTAATATTATTTCCTTCTTGGGTCTCTGAGGGAGTTGAAGAATAGACAGTTATAGGAGTTTTCCTTGTTTACCAGAAACAGAAAGGAAATTATGATAGAAAGCAAATTAGGTACAAGACTTTGGATTCACCAAGATAGGACAGATACTGAATATTTTCTCTGAATTTGTCATATTCAAATGGACTAGACGTTCATGTATTTACTGTCTGTATATAATGTATATAGTTATTGTACTTATTGTATATAGTTTTTCTTGTATTAATTATAACCTTTCTTTTTTATTTTAGACATAAAAGGGGAATGTAGTGATGTATTATTTGTATTTTAATAAATAGAGTCTGAAGGTAAGTGCAAAGCAACCACACTCATCACCCATACAGGCCAGGTAGTGGTTGCACATGCTTATAGTCCCAACAGCCACTAGCTGTAGAGGCCAGGCAGTTGTGCACGCCTTTAATCCCAGCACTAGAGAGGAATATAAGGTAGGATGAGACAGGAACTCATTCTCTTTCAGTCTGAAGATTTCAAAGAGGGAAGAGCTCTCTAGTGGCTTAACTGCTTTTGCCTTTTTGTTCTTTAGGTTGAACCCCAATATCTGTCTCTGGGTTATTATTATTTGTGCTACAGGAATGGTCCTTCCTGCTGCTGTTTATCAAAATGTTCCATTTCTATGGCCTTAGGTTTATTTCTGGAAGTTTAAGAAAGAATTCAACAATTAGAAAGAAATAAAATATTTACAATGCAATGCAATGGACAAATCGCTAGAATATTTCACTGACAAAAGGAGCCAGATTGGGAAAGCAACATTTTTAATGCTATTCACACAAAATTCCTGAAAGGACAAGTTATAGGGACATAAATTATGTTAGTAGCTGGCTAGAGTAATTAAAGAAAGTATATCATGATTGTGGTAGTAGCCATAAAACAAAATGTTTATCAACTCACTGAAATATATGCTAAGATTCTTAATGAAAATAGATGCAAATTTTTTCAATAAAATACTTGTACACCAAATTCAGGATATTTTTAAAAAGAGCATTTACCATGAACAGATTGGCTTAATTCCAAGAATATACATCGTTAAAAACCTACAGAAAAAAATAAATATAACACTTTACAAAATGGACTCAAGGACAGAAATCACATGTCCTCTTAGTAAATGAAAGAAAGCATTTGACAAAATCCAACATCCATACATGATAAAAGTCTTAAAGAAACTGGTAATAAAGGGAGCATATCCCAATATTATAAAAGCTATACATGACAAACTTATAGCCAACATTATGCTAAATAAATAAGCATTTCCATTAAAATAAACAATAAGACAGGGGTGTCCATTCCTCTTCAGTATAGGCTTAAAGTCTCAATTGGAGAAGCAAGACAACAGAGAAGACCAAGGGATACAGTAGGGAAGGGAGAAGTCCAGTTATCCTTATTTTCAGGTGTGATTCTACGCCTAAAATTCTGAATGAGAGAACGGGACATCCATCATTGTGTTGTAGCAATTGTGGTGCTGCCACACAGGAGCAAATTAAAAATGGGTGATGTTGAGAAAGGCAAGAAGACTTTTGTTCAAAAGTATGGCCAGTGCCACACTGTGGAGCTGGAGGGCTAGCGTAAGAGTGGACCAAAACTCATAGTCTGTTTGGGAGAAAGACAGGTCAGGCCTCTGGATTCTCTTGCTCAGATGCCAACAATAGCAAAGGCACCACCTGGGGAAAGGATACGTGGTGGAGTATTCGGAGAATTTCAAAAGTGCACTCCTAATATAAAGATGATCGTTGCTGGACTTCAGAAGAAGGGAGAAAGGGCAAACCTCATAGCTCATCTTAATGAGTAATTCCACTGCCTTACTTATTACAAAACTAATGTCTCATGACTTTTCATGTCTACCATAATTTAATTCATACACCAAAATTCAGATCATGAATGGCAAACACTGTATTTGTTGCGCAGTCTTGATAAAAAAAAAAAAACCCGACTCGTAGTAAAGTGCGCATGATCTTATTTAAAATAACAATTCCAGATGCATAAATACTACCCTGCTCTCCCTTTCTCAAGATGGGATTGGACTTACTTAGTGAAGTTCTACTTTCCACAAAGATGGGCGTGTCACCTCAAACCTAATGAATGTTTTTAATAATTAAATTGATATACCTGGCATATGAATATGTTTAAACACTGGGAGAATTCTATCACCATCTCAGAAATGAGAAGAGTCACCTGTGTTTCAGTTTGTGTTGGGCAATAGCTAAACAACAGGAAGCCGCTGTTAGATGTCATTTTAATTAGAATTCCCTAAGTCAAAGGATGCTGCCTTTTTACCACTGAAAGGCACTAACTGTGGTCTATGTAGAATGTTAAATAAAGAGTGTTTAGTGCTTCTTTGTAATTGATCTGTAAGTTAAAATGCCAGCTTACGGTTTGGCAAAACATTAGTATCTAGACTATACAACGAACTAAAAAGAAAAAAAAAACAACCAAACAAACAAACAAGAACTCAAAATACTCAATCAAAATATGAACTTAGGAAATGAACAGACAGATGTTCAACTTTGCTGGCCATTCTAAAAATACAAAGTAAAGCTGCACTGACTGAGATTCGGTCTTGCCCCAGTCACTAAGAAAGAAGCAGGAGCAGATGTGGAGAGAAGGGGCCCCCTTATACATTGCTGGTGGGATAGAAATCATTAGTCTAACTGCTATGTAGCTAAGTGTGGAAATTTCAAAATCAAACCAAGCAAGCAAAAACTGACCGTCCTAGCCGGGTGGTGGTGGCGCACGCCTTTTAATCCCAGCACTCAGGAGGCAGAGGCAGGCGGATCTCTGTGAGTTCGAGGCCAGCCTGGTCTAGAAGAGCTAGTTCCAGGACAGGAACCAAAAAAAGCTACAGAGAAACCTTGTCTCGAAAATCAAAACAAAACAAAACAAAAAAAAACTGACCGTCCATCTTCTACATGACCCATGGCCCACTGTACCGCTTTTGGGTACTTATCCAAGTAACTTCAAGCCAATTTTTCACAGAGATATTAATGCTTATTACAGCACTTCTTATGTTATTGAACTATGGAACTACTAAGTATCCAACTATAGAGAAATGGATAAGGAAAATGCAGAACATTTGCATAGTGGAATTTTCATCCTTAAAAAAAAAGGCATGATGTCATGCCATTAGCAGAAAAATGTATGCTACAGATCATCATATTGAATGGTTTTAAATCATCACAGAAAAACAAATATATATATTTTTTCTCTCATTTGTGGCTTCTATATTTTACTGAGATACATAAAACTAAATATGTACATATGCCATAATCCTAGAAATAAAGCCCTCTAGGGAGACAAGACAAAGGAGATGAATGGTAGGGTGAAGAGGTGAAAAAAAGAGAGGATTGTAGGCTTTGGGGGAAAAACTCCATACACCCTGTAGTCGGAGACCGCTTGTTCATTCCCCGCTGCCCAGACCACAAAATAATCACTCAGAAACTGTATTATTTGTAATACTGTTTAACCAATAGCTTAAGAGTATTTCTGGCTAATTCTTATGTCCTAAACTAACCCATCTCCATTAACCTGTGCATCACCACGAGATTGTGGCCTACCGGAAATGTTTCAGTGGGTTCCAGCCGAGGCATCTGTCCCCAGCGGTGGCTACATGGCTTCTCACTGACTCCACCTTTTTTCTCCCAGTATTCAGTTTAGTTTTCCTGCCTAGAAGCTTCTGGCTGAAACAGATTTATTAATTAACCTATAAAAGCAACACATTGGCAGAAGGGCTTCCCACACCAACACCCAATATGTAGGTAGAAGCATGGCCAGTGATTATCCCTCTGTCCTGTTCTCTGACTAGTTGTAGTGACTTGCTCTGAGCGCAGGCCCTTTTCTTGATGAAGGCTGGTATGGCTACTCTACTGTGTTCTTCATTTCATCAGTATGTCTGTTTTCTCTAGAATTTCTATTGTATTCTTTCCTTATGCTTTCTGTCTCTCTGTTGAAATAATTATTTTTGCATTTTTAAAATTTTTTTTAATAATTTATTTTAACCTTATTTTATGTGCATTGGTGTAAAGCTACGGGCAGTTGTGAGCTGTCATGTGGGTGCTGGGAATTGAACCTGGGTCCTCCGGAAGAGCAGCCAGTGCTCTTAACCATTGAGCCATCTCTCCAGCCCCCATTTTTGCATTTTTTGCCTAGCAATTCACAATCCTCTGTTTCTTTGTAGTTCCTTGCTATAAAAATTACCTTGTTTGTTTGGTGGGGTCATGTATGCTCACTTCCTATGACTCTGAACTGAAGTGAGTCTTTCCTCCATTCCCTCCCTCCTTCCTTCCTTTCTTTTTTGTTAAAATTTTAAAAGATTTATCTATTTCACTTTATGTGTTTGATTGCTTGCCTACATGTATGTTTGTGTACCACATGCATGCTTGGTGCCCATGAAGGTCAGAAGAGGGCATCAGATCCCTGGAACTGGAGTTACAGACACTTGTGAGCTGCCTTCTGGATGATGGGATTTGAACCAGGGTCCTCTACAAGAACAACAAGTGCTCCTAACCCCTGAGCCATATCTGCAGGCCCGTAATTGATTTTTTTAAAGAGTTGATGTTTATATATGTGTATATATTTGTATGTGATAGCCCAAAGCAATGGAGTTATCCAATCATGGACTGGAAAACCTTAGCCTGCAAGTCAAAATAAGCTTTTTATAAAGTTTGTCATTTCAGGTATGTGTTAGAGCAACAGAAAGCTAACCTATCATATAAGATTATAATACAATTTTCAGTATCATTATTATCTCTTACCAAGTATAATTCTATACTCTTTTGTTTTGAAAGTTAAAAGTGGAAGTAGCATTTTTCCCCCGGGAGGGAGTAAGTGTCAATACCCTTTGTTATGAGGTGGCTTAGTAGATACTCTGCTGTACTCCAGGGGCAAGGAGCTATTATCACAGCATACCACCTCAGTTCTGATTTTCAGTGTTTTGTTTTTTTTTTTTAAACAAAGTTTGTCTCTTTCTAGCAAAACCACTGCCCAGAAAGTAAAGGCTGCCAGTTAAATCCTAACTACTATAACTCCAGACCATGACCATCTTGAGAAAAGTCCAGGGATAGATGAGCTTTGTCCTTTGAATTGAAGGGGACTGCCTGGGATACCACTGAAAATCCGAGCAGACATTCCCAGTTTTGCAGTTTAGAATCCAGCTCACTAAAGGCAGCGTAAGTTTTCCGTGTTGGAAATGGTCAGAAAATGGTCCAGGTCGGCTATCCTTGGACTTGTCACCGTGCTTTTTGAATAAAATCAGCAATAATTCCTGGAACCTGATCATACATACAGCATGGGCCAGGCACTGAGAGTCCATGAACTGTAGACCTGGCTGCTCGGCTGATTGCAATTCAGTGAAGTGTGACACGGACCATGGGAGAGAAATAACATCAGCAGTTTAGCTTCAAAGCGTGGGTGTTGCCACACAGCAGCAAGTGACCAGGGTAGGTAAATTACGTGTCCCAGAAGGTCCCATGGGAGTCGTGCTCTTATAGAGTAGGATTGGGCTTTGTAAAGATGATAGTAGTTTATTTATGAAGGGGAGGGGTATTGTGGGTAGCTGAGAAGGAGGGGGCAAGGAGCAGCAGACCAAGCCTTGAAATTCCCTCTATTAGGATCTGTTAAAAGGATGCTGTTTGAGTAATTTTCTCGTATTATCTGGGTTACCCATGATCCAGCATACTGATACAAGCTTAAAAGTCTTCTCTAGCCATTACTGTGGGGGTGTTTCCCTCCTAAAAAACGGCCGCTGACTAACATGAGGTGGGGGAAGGGAGCAGTATCACAAAACGAAAGGTTCAGAAAATAAAGCAATGCATTCTGGGGAGCCGGACAGTGGTTGTACTTAATCTTACATGTAAACGTAGATCAGTATAAAATGAGCCTATACGCCATAAAATTTACAGTTAATTTAAACAATTGTCTCTATTTTAAAATGTTCAAGAGTAACACATTTTGAAAGGGCTACAGCACCCATGCTTCAAAGCGAGCCAAGGGAACGTGGACTTGTGCCAGCTAGACCCCACGGGTACCGAATGAAAGGTTGTTCCAGTGACCGTGATCACCTCAGAGACGGAGACAGGAGGTAATCACCGTTGGACAATGGCAGTAAATAGATTCGGAAAGAAGGGAAAAGGCCTGACATCTGGGCAGTTAAATTCTTAATAACCTGTGTTAGTGCTCAACTGTATTGCCCGTCTGGGGAGGGGACAGTGAAACCCATTTACATGAGGTGTAGATTGCATCCTCACCCTTAAGCTATTAAGTTCAAAGATGCAGCCTCCCAGGAAACAAAGCCTCCCATGCAGCCTTCCTGGTTCTCCCTCCACTCTGCGCTGGCTGGGTTTTTATGCTGAACGCTGGCTTCGGCATTTTGTGAAATCGTCCTCTCAACAGGACATTGATATCTGCGCAGAACAGAAAATTGTCCCCATTTCCAACCTAAAGGTGGCATATTTGCATAAGCTTCTCTTTCATTGAAATCTGTCTTAATCCCCAAAGATTTAATAGTTGAAATGCAAACCCCATTTTTAATAAATAAAAAGTCAGGTGAAGCAAACCTCACCTGGAAAATTTTAACAAATCAATTTTTCTTCCTTTAAAAACATGTGTCTTCTTTAAATGCTGTATAGTTTCACGTGATCTTTGTACTTTTCCAGGATACAATATTCAAATGAAAATGCATATGCATATGTGTATGTATATGTATATAAAGGGGTTCAGATGCTAACCTCAAAATATGCTGCTTTGGCATATTGATTATTTGGGGTTAAAAGGAAGTTGAGAACCTCAAGTTCTTGACCTCAAATGCTTTAAATATAGTGTCTACTTTCTCCTTTGGTAAAGGAAAGTTACATTTCTGAAAGAAATTTCCACTAGTAAAGATGTCCATGCCAGGAAGAAAGCTACTTTGGAGTCATCTTTTGGCAGGAGCTCTTATCTGCAGGACTGGGAAATTTTATTTATTCTACAGTTTTTTCCCCGATCCTCTGCACTTCTCCTCCACCACCCTGCAAAAGCCCCAGACCCATTATCCTCTCTGTAACACAGGTTGGTAGCTGACAATCATCTGGCCACCTCCTTGAGTCTCATATTTTGGTGGAACTCTGATATATATGCATCTAGGTTAAAATGTTTTCTCCTGTTCATGTTATTTTAAGGCTTGGCCCCAGGACGGACCCACAAGGGTAAAAGGAAACATTCTCTCTCTGTCATACACAGGAGCACAAGGAAGGACTGAGGTCATGAGTTCATTTAAAAGTGCAATGTGACCACTTTACTCTTACTTCCCACCTGTCTCTAAATCAGAGATGGTTCTGACATTTTTTATTTTGCATTTGATAGCTCCGTTGAGCGGCACCTGCCCTGCTACGTCACTCCAGAGAGTAAACTAAAGCGCGGGTAAGTATCAGCTCTACAGGTTGAAGGAGTCTTACAGGAGCTTAAAGGCTGCTTTTGCCCAGTCTCTCTAGCCTGGGCTTTGCCTTCATTTTATGTCTGTTTCTTTTGCTGCCCCAAATTTTCGGTCACATTCTTGACCAACTTTGCATGTTGGTTGTTTAACGAGTATTCATCTAAAACTGATAATACTTCTCCTTCCAAGGCCAATGTCCTAGGGTTTCTACTGCTGTGAAGAGACGGCATGACCACAGCAACTCTTTTTTTTAAAATTATTTATGTACATATATGAATGCTCTGTCTTCTGTAGGTCTGCATAACAGAAGAGGGCATCAGACGCCATTATGGATGGTTCTGAGTCACCATGTGGTTGTTGGGAATTGAACTCAGGACCTCTGGAAGACCAATCAGTGCTCTTAGTCACTGAGTAAACTCTCCATCCCTACAGCAGCTCTTATAGAGGAAAACATTTAATTGGGGTGACACACAGTTTCAGAGGTGTAGTCCATTATCATCTTGGCAGGATATGGCAGGATGCAGGCAGACATGGCGCTAGGTCAACTTCTACATCTTGATCTATAGGCAACAGGAAGTGAACTGTGTCACAAGGTGTAGCTTGAGCATAAGAGACCTCAAAGCCCTTCTCCTCACAATGATACACATCCTCCAACAAGGCCATACCTATTCCAACAAAGCCACACCTCCTAATAGTGCCACTCCCTGTGGGGGTCATTTCTTTCAAAACTCCACAACTGAGGAAGCCAATGTAACAGTAACAACGATATTTTCAAGATTTGTAGGGGCATCATAATCAGTAGATTGTTAGTCACCAGCTTTAACCACATCCTTTTCCAAATCACCAGAATGGCTCCTACAAGTCTCCAGCCTTTGCCATAAGCTTGAAGGAGGCTGCCCCAAACCCATCCTACTTTTATGGCGTATTCTTTGAGTCATTCTTGTGGTCACCTTGGTTTCCATTGCCTACAGGTCTGACCAATAAAGCTCTATTCCAACAGTCAAAACTACCCCATGCCCCACTCCACACCAAAATGGCAGCAGTGAGTTTACTGACAAGGCTGCGCATGGTTGATCATGAGATAGTGATCAACTTGACCACAGTCTCACCCAAACTGCTTGTCAATGTATGCTTCTTGCCGCTTGCTTTGTCCCCATGTTATCTGGAAGCGCTTGTCAAACCAAAGTCAGGGCTAAGGATGCTGGCCCTTAGTTTCTCCCCAGTATGGCCATGATAGATGTTTATGATGGACAACCTCCTTTCCTCCTTCTCTTTTCTGCCTTTTTCTTTTTTTGTCAGTTGGGACAAGTGGCTAACCTGGTTAGCAGTTGACCTACAAAGTTGGCCTGTACCCACAATTCTGGATACAAGCCTGTGACTAATTCAGTTTTTTCTCCCACACTGTGGAAGAATTTACTTTGTGTCCTGAATAGGGCAGTTGAGAGTTGCCACAGTGCCCCAGCTAGTGAAGTGTTAACTGTTGGAACTCCGGTCTGTTGCATGGGATCTCGCTGTAAAAGCAGCAAAGGCAAAACCTCCCTTAACATTCATTTGTTACGTGTTTGTGTATTTACCCCAGCCCCAGTTTACTTTTGGGTATACTGGAGAAATATACAAGAAATCTATGTCAAAATTCATTGTCATTAGTTGTAGAATTTATAAAAAAAATGCAAAAATACCAGATAATTTCAAAGGTTTCTTTCAGTTTTGAAAGCCCTACTATGGGTTGTAATTTTATTTAGTTACTTCTACATTATAACTGATACTTAATTTCTTTTTCGGCAGGTCTCTAGCTCAGAATGGCTTTGAAATTGCGGTATAGCTGAGGATGACCTTGAACTACTGGTCCTCTGCCTCCCCCCTCCCAGTGCTAAGGACTCCAACTGTGCTTTTTTCTGTATAATCTTCTCTATACAGGGATGCTTTATCTCTCCAGCTCTTACACATTCTACCCAATGGGATGGTCTTTCCTACTCAAGATAATCAAGATTGTTTGTTAATCAACATAACTGACAATATCAAAACCAATACAATTCTAAAATAATCTCTGTTTTCCTTTGATGTTCAGTATTAGAAGCTGTGGAGTGAATATATAAAGGATTCAAATGTGAATGTTAGACTTTGCATTTCAAGAAGAAATTCAACCTATATCAGACTAATGTAAGGGTCTAGCATGGACTAACACCTTCCTACTGTAAGGGTCTAGCATGGACTAACACCTTCCTACTGTAAGGGTCTAGTGATGGAGGAAGGTCATTGGCTAATAAAGGAACTGCCTTGGCCCATTTTATTGGTTAGAAGATAGGTGGGAGGAGTAAACAGAACAGAACGCTGGGAGGAAGAGGAAGTGAGCTCAGACTCCACAGCTCTCCTCTCGGGAGCAGACGCCTGAGAGAGATGCCATGCCCCGCTCCCAGGCAGACACATGCGATGAAGCAAGCCGCCAGGTCAGACATGCTGAATCTTTCCCGGTAAAACCGGTGCTCACAGATTATTAGAGATGGGTTGATCGGGATGTGAGAATTAGCCTGTAAGGGCTAGAGCTAAAGGGCCAAGCAGTGTTTAAATGAATACAGTTTGTGTGTTGTTATTTTGGGTAAAGCTAGCCGTGGGGGCGGCCGGGTGCTGGGGACGCAGCCCCACCACCCTTATTACTACAGTCTAGCATGGACTAGCACCTTCCTACTGTAAGGGTCTAGCATGGACTAATACCTTCTACTGTAAGGGTCTAGCATGGACTAGCACCTTCCTACTGTAAGGGTCTAGCATGGACTAGCACCTTCCTACTGTAAGGGTCTAGCATGGACTAGCACCTTCCTACTGTAAGGGTCTAGCATGGACTAGCACCTTCCTACTGCAAGGGTCTAGCATGGACTAGCACCTTCCTACTGCAAGGGTCTATCTAGCATGGACTAGCACCTTCCTACTGTAAGGGTCTAGCATGGACTAGCACCTTCCTACTGTAAGGGTCTAGCATGGACTAGCACCTTCCTACTGCAAGGGTCTATCTAGCATGGACTAGCACCTTCCTACTGTAAGGGTCTAGCATGGACTAGCACCTTCCTACTGTAAGGGTCTAGCATGGACTAGCACCTTCCTACTGCAAGGGTCTAGCATGGACTAGCACCTTCCTACTGCAAGGGTCTATCTAGCATGGACTAGCACCTTCCTACTGTAAGGGTCTAGCATGGACTAGCACCTCCTCCTGCTCCCCTTTCATCTTAAGCCCTTAAACTGAAGTTCCCAGAAAGAAAAGATACACCTGTGCTATAGATTTTCTATGACTGGACTGACTGGCTGACTAATAAGCACGTCCTGATTATGGAAGGTTGGAATGTTACAGACCTAGACTCCAATTATCTAAGGCTATCTTTATTGCCATGTATCACTCAAACGGGTCTGAACCACATTCTCAGGACTACCATATAGGGTATAGTAACTTAGTAGACCATATCCATCATCCCGGAAGCTAAACATGTCATCAGATAGCATCTGAAAACTCGAACAGAGATTTCCTGGCTTTGCTGTAGCATGTTTGCCCGGAGTTTCCATCACTATGTTGAAAGTGTCTTGATTTATGACTGCCTTTCATTCTCTATGTATAAAACATTCATGAACCTGTACATTGGAACATGGTGCCGAGTCTGTGTTCCTAGGCCAGCATCTCAAAATTTGACTCCAGAATAAATTCTTTTTTCTTCAAAGAAGCTCTCTCCAGACAGCCACAGTGGGAGCCATGTGTGTCTGTGCCAGCAAGCTCCTCTGTGTGTTTCCCTGTGCAGTCCAGGCCTATTGGCCTTTTCTCCAGCAGAGGATGGAATCCACATCCTAGACCCCAGGTCAGGGTTTTTACTTCTCTCTTTTCCCTGCTGAGAGCAGGCAGAGTCCTGCTCCAAATTACACATATTTGTGTAAAACAGTGATTTTTTTCCCCAAGTGTGCTTTGTTCTGAGAGACTACGTTTTACAAGTAGCTTTGGCTCCATATTGAAGGAAAAAACCATTGTGCTCTAGGGTGGGCCTGCAAACACCACCTTCTGTCTGGCCCGCCCATGCACCATTGACTGAGCAATCACCTATTCCTGGGAATAGAAAGGGAAGCATCTAATGGATGTATTGGTAGGTTGAGACATTAGAGGCATAGGAATGCATTAAAATCATATCAGAACAACCAAGCCCAATAACTTACCAGACACACCAGACGAAGGAACAGGTGAGACTCCCTCATTTGTACCCCCAACAGTGGTACCATGATGACAATGGCTCCATCCTGACCTGTCATCTAATCCTGGTGTGTGTGTGTGTGTGTGTGTGTGTGTGTGTTTGTGTGTGTGTGACTAACCCAGACAGGGAATTCCCAGCTGACCCTGGCACTTCAGCTCACTCCCCTGCTGCTGGCTCAGCCTCCGCAGCTGTCCTCTGACATCAGCCTGTCCATCCATCTGGACCTGGACCTACACCTGTTGTTCCTGTAGCCGACCCAGTTCTGACCTTCCTTCTGTTTTATTTTCCATTCCTTTATTTTCTTTTTCCCTTCCCTTTATTTTTAAAAACACTTGAGGTGCTAGGGGCCAAAACCCAGGCTTTTCTGAGTTCTAGGCAAGTGCAGATGAGTTTCCCATTAACCATTCCCCTCAGAAAGTGAGGACCTCTCCTTTCTAATACTTCAGGTTTGGCCTTAGCTAACCAATTCCCCAAGACAGAGAGCTCTTCCTATCTATATAGGTCCTCACTCCCATTATTTTCTTGAAAGGATTTATGGATTTATTGTGATTTATATATTTGATACAGAATTCACCAGTGTTCCCAGTAGTAGCTCAATGCCTCCCACAACTCTCCACTGAACACGTTTAAGTAGAGTAAGTATTAACTTTATCCTGGCAGCCGGGAGCCAAGGAATACCACAAAGTCACTATAAGCATAGCAGCTTACAGCTCTGCTCCAGAAAAAGTTTCCCCAA